CAAGCGCCCCCGCCAAGCCTTCAGTAAGCGACTAGGGTTTAGGGTTTAGGGTTTAGGGTTTACCATTTTTCGGCTTCTCAGCAGCAGCATCGCGTTAAGAAGCGCGTGGCGGGTGGTGGGGTGCAGCTCCACTTGAGTCAGCAGCTCCAGAATAATTTGTTTCACTTCTTCAGAGGGCGAGGGGCCCCCCGGGGCTGGTATTGACTCCGTACCAAACGCGTCAAACACCGGCAAGTCCTGGGGGCCCCTGGGGGGCCCCCCTGCCCACGCGTCTTGCACTTCGGCGCTGTAGCAAGGGGCCGTCTGCAGCAGCAGCCCCAGAATTAGGGTTTAGGGTTTGGGGTTTAGGGTTTAGGGGCTGTGCCCGGCAGTGAGTCTAGAGAATCGCTAGGGCCTAGGGCTTGGGCTCCGAGCTCAGGACACTGCTGCGCGGCGGTGTGCCTCCGCGCAAAGCGGCACCAGGGCCTAGGGTTTAGGGTTTAGGGTTTAGGGTTTACGTGAGCGAGGAACATGACGAGGCTTTGCAGCTTTCGCGTGGGCCTGTAGGGCTGCTGCTTAAGGGCCTCCGCGAGGCCCCTGAAGTTTGTGAGCTGCAAAAGGAATTCTTCGCGGTAGGCCAAAGGGTCTCTCTTTATCTTGTTCTGCCCGCAAACCCTAAACCCTAAACCCTAAACCCTAAACCCTAAACCCCAAACCCGCGCCCCGGGCCACGAGCCCGAAGGCGCACTGGCGGCGAATTCGAGCGTACGCTGCGGCGGATAGAAGGGGACAAGAAAACAAGGCAGCTTCGCAAGGACGCGAAACCCTAAACCCTAAACCCTAAACCCTAAACTCTAGCCGCCACTAGCAGCGCAGGCGTACCTGGAGGAGCGCCAAGGACATGACGGACTCCTCCTGCTCGTCGTTGAGGCTCTTCATCTTGCCTTGCGGGTGTGAAGCCCTAAACCCTAAACCCTAAACCCTAAACCCTAAACCCTAGCCCGGGCCCGCGGCGCCGCAGGGTCTGCGTTGGCTGTCTCTCCTGGGGTGTACGTACACCTCAAAGTCCCCACAAATTAAAAGCGAAAAGATTTGCTGCTGTGGGGAGCAGCAAAAGGAAGAAGGAGAAAGGGTGGGGCCCCACAGGGTGGTCAAACCCTAAACCCTAAACCCTAAACCCTAAACCCTAAACCCTAGCCCGGCCCCTGGCAGGGACTTCCTCGAGTTCTTAGAATTGGAAATTAAATTCTTCTAATCTACAAATCACAAAAGGAAGAACAGCGAGGGACTCTGGAGCCCAAGGCGCATGCCGCCGCCGCGATCCTCTTCGAAGTTAGGGGTTAGGGTTTAGGGTTTAGGGTTTAGGGTTTAGAGATTAGAGTTTGGGGTTGTATCTTTGTGAATTCTCCCTAAATGTCGCGTTACATTTCGGTTATTTTAATGAAGTCGTGCCGGAAGTCTCGGAGTTCCCCAGCCCTACACCCTAAACCCCAAACCCCAAACCCTAAACCCTAAGCCCTAAACCCTAAACCCTAAACCCTAAACCCTAATACATCTCCGATCCCTGCCATCCCGGACTGCGCGCGTGGCGCGCGCGCCGCCCCCCTAAACCGAACCCCACCCCCCCGAACTCCAAACCCTAAACCCTAAACCCTAAACCCTAAACCCTAAACCCTCGACGATGGACGCGGAGGAGGTGCTGCTAGGGTTTATGGAGGCCGAGCGGCGAGTCCCGCGGTGGTTTTTCCCCTCCAAAGTCGGGGGTTTTCCGAACTGGCATTCTTTGCCTCCTCCGGGGGACTTGTTCTGCAGTGTATGTACACCCCAAGTCCCCCTCACCCTGCTCGTCCAGGTCAGCTGCTGCTGCTGCTGCTGCTGCTGCTGCGGGGGGGCTGCACCTGCTGGAGGCGCAGCTGGTTCTGCTGCTGCTGGTTCTGCGGCTGCAGCTGTTCTGCTGCTCCAGATGTCTCCGCTGCAGCCGCTGCTGGTTCTGCTGCTGCTGCTGCAGCTGCTGCTGCTGCTGCAGCAGCTGCT